ACAAAATAGTGCTCAATGTAAATTTACAGAGCATAAATATTATAAATTAATTGATTTAAAATATGTTTTTTTTCGCTACACAGTTCTAACCATGTTTCAAAAATGGAAGCTAAAAGCCACGAATTTTATTTTGCAACTAAATTAAAGACATTAGTTCCATTTCATCCTCAAGCGAATTTTGGAGTAACTTTTTAAAATTACTGGGTTTTAAATACACAGCTAAAACCTAAAAGAGCACATATATATCATATATATATATATATATATATATATATATATATATACATATATGTGCTCTTTCCATGAAGCGGTAAGTAGTCTCCGCTCCTACACACACACACACACACACACAAAACACATGCACACGCACGTACGCCTGTGAGAGAGAGAGAGAGAGAGAGAGAGAGATATGGTCTCTCCCCGAAACGATAAATGATAATTGATTTCCGTTCATATATATGTTTGTGTGTGTGTGTGTGTGTGTGTGTGTGTGTGTATGAGCTAACCACACACACACACACACACATATATATATAATGAGCGAATTACACACACGCACACACACACACACACACACACATATATATATATATATATATATATATATCTTCTAGACTCACACGCATACACATATGTATTATCATACAAATACATATATACATTAACATCCAACACAATCGTTTCAGTACAACCACCGAAGTTAAGCAACGTCGAGCCTTGTCAGAACCTAGATGGTTGACTGCTTGGGAGTGCATGGTGCTGTAAGCTCGAGTGTGCAGATCGTTTAAATGGATTATGGCTCGGAATACTTCATTGGTGTGCAGTGTTCCAATTCTAAATTGGTTCGTTATATTCACTTACGCAGTAATACCCTTGGTAAAGGCATGAATACACCTGCTATTGGTTAATAAGATGTGTATAACTAAAACCATTATTATCTCCAAAATATAACAGCGTACAAAATATCTAGATTTCGCGATTAAATAACTCATAAAGGTTCATATGACGAATAAACAGAAACAAACAACAAATTTACCCGGCAAATTTCAATTGTCTTATTCTGATGCTACGTACATCCATAAATTTGCCTTTTTCTCTAAAATTTCGTTCTGCTCACCTGTTTGATCCATGGCATTCTCAGCATCCTTCCGTAAAACCACATTTCTGTTGCCTCAAGTCTCTTCATGCCTGAGAAGATTATCCAGTTTGCATTGCCATATTGGAAGAACTATATTACATAACAGTTCAGAACTCTGAAGGGAGGCAGGGTCGAGTAACGGATAGCGATTCGGACTGAGGAATCGGAAAGCCGAGGTCGGAGAGCCGTGATACACGCCTAGGCGATCATGTATCTTTCGATACATGACTGACGATGCAGATTTTTTTTTTTTTTTTTTTTACCGCCGTAGGTTGCCATTTCTTTCTACGGTAGACCAGTTGACATCCGAGGTTATAGAACCCGGTCTCTCCTGCTATTTACCCATAGCTAGAGAAAGAAGTTTATTCATACCTTTCCCAAGCACGTAAGTGAATGTAATGGATTCGAACGTTACTTAGAGCAATAAAAGACGGAAATTTGGAGAGAGTTATGATTTACAACACCTAGAAAGGACAAGGCAGAAAGAAGAAAAAGAATAGGGTCTAGGCAGATGTTTTAACTCGGAGGGATTCTTAAAAGGCGATATATTTTATTGCGCATTCACATCTGTGAAAAGCCTGAGATTGATATGATCAGACCAAGATAGATAGATAGATAGATAGATAGATAGATAGATAGATAGGATCAGAGTGAGATGGATGTGTTCAGACTGTGATAGATAGATAGATAGATAGATAGATAGATAGATAGATAGATAGATAGATAGATAGATAGGATCAGAGTGAGATGGATATGTTCAGACTGAGATAGATAGATAGATAGATAGATAGATAGATAGATAGATAGATAGGATCAGAGTGAGATGGATGTGTTCAGACTGTGATAGATAGATAGATAGATAGATAGATAGATAGATAGATAGATAGATGATGAATGGGATCAAACTGAGATAGCTAGCTAGCTAGCTAGATAGATAGATAGATAGATAGATAGATAGATAGATAGGATCAGAGTGAGATGGATATGTTCAGACTGTGATAGATAGATAGATAGATAGATAGATAGATAGATAGATAGATAGATAGATAGATAGTTATGATCAGAATGAGATGGATATGTTCAGACTGTGATAGATAGATAGATAGATAGATAGATAGATAGGATCAGAGTGAGATGGATGTGTTCAGACTGGGATAGATAGATAGATAGATAGATAGATAGATAGATAGATAGATAGATAGATAAGATCAGAGTGAGATGGATATGTTCAGATTGTGATAGATAGATAGATAGATAGATAGATAGATAGATAGATAGATAGATAGATAGATGAATGGGTGTTTGTAAGCAGACCTCTATACAGAATGAGATAGACAGATAGATAAATGTAAACGGACACATATGAGCGATTGTAACTAACTAAAGATGTGGATGAATAAGTAGAAAGAATTACTTCTGAAGATAGTAAAGTTGGTTTGTTTGCACGTCTTTATTGCTTCTCTTATTGCAACGTACACTTAAGAAAAATCGATTTCTGCTTTTAAAAGAAAAATCAAAGAAATTAACAGAAAAAAAGAGGAAAACAAGCAACGAAAAGCAACGACAAAAGCAACTACAACAAAAATAAAAACCACAATTGTAAACCTGAAAGTGAAATCAGAACTAATGGTCGCTCGGTCGGAACATAAACCCATCTAAGAATCGATACTAGTGAAAAATATGACAGAATGGAGGGAGACTTGAAATGGGTAAAGAAGAATTGATAAGTGAAGTGGGATAAGGAATTGATTAGATGTTTCCCATTAGGAAGTGTAGCTTTTTGTCATAGTCATCTTCCTCCAGACATGTTCTATCGGTTCTGGTCAACGCTGGGTGGTAGAAGGTAAACACAGGTGAGAACGAATTAGACTCATTAGGTCAACGTAGAAAATATGGCAAAATACTGAACAAGATGGTCGAACATCCGGTATTAACAGTCAAGACAATCGTTGTCCAGCTTTTTACTATTTTTCTTTCTTCGTTGACTCAAAAATATCAGTTTGAACATTTTCTATATATATATATATATATATATATATATATATATATATATATATATATATAGATAGATAGATAGATAGATAGATAGATAGATAATATTAGTGGTCAATATACATATATAATATATATATATATATATATAATTATTGATTTAAAAATATGATTCAATACGCTACATAAGAGTTCTCATGTTTCAAAACAAGAGCCGAAAACTTCAATATAATTATTTGTATTGAACTTTTCGGCTCTTGTTTTGAAAAACATGAGAACTCTTATGTAGCGTGTTGAAATCATATTTTTAAATCAATAATTATATTTATGCTCTGCTTTTGTATCGAGCACTATTTTTAAAAAAAATAATAACAAAAATACTAAAGTACTTTGGATTATTTACCTAACGAGTTATTTCCTATTTTCTATATATTTTTCACATATATATATATAAATATATATAAATATATACATAAGCATAAATATATAATATATATATATATATATATATATATATATATATATATATATATAAGAACAAGAAGGTCAAACATCCGGTATTAACAGTCAAGACAATCTTTGTCCAGCTTGATATTTTCTGTTTGAGATATTTCAGTTCTGTTTTCTTTCTTCGTTAAGTTTATATATATATATATATATATATATATATATATAATCTATAAATATATATATATAAATCTATATAAATATGTATATATATATATATATATATATATATCAATAATATATATATATATATATCAATAATATATATATATATATATATATATATATATATATATATATATATATATATGCAAAGAGATCCTGCGTTACTTGCTTCCCTCAGTTCGTGAGAAGACTCGAGAGTTCTGGCAAGACAAATCGTGGCTTCTTCACCACGACAACGCACCTGCTGACAACGCCCTGAGCTAAGACCTACAGGCCTCATTCGCTCGAAGTCGTTTTTAGTCATTAATCTGTGAAAGGTTTGGTTTGCTTTGTTTTGTTTTACGGCACATCAATCTCAATGGGTCATTTAATGCCGACAACTTTCATTTTTTGGCAATATTTTTGTTTTGTCAAAAATCTATATCTATTAATTTTTTTTTTTTTCTCAAAAATGTATAGTTGGTAATATTATTATTTTCCGAAAACGTACAGCAGGCAACATTATTTTTTTCAAAAACGTATTATCAGAGGCCTTGCTGTTGGGCGTAGTTTATTGTCATACCCATGTCGCGGACGTACTTTATCGTCATACCGGGACGAGATCTGGGTTTCGGGATGCTGTTGGACGTAGTTTATCGTCATACCCAGGATGCGGATGTAGTGTGGGTGTTAACTATTTACCCATAGCTGAGACCCTAACAGGTGCTACCACCTCAGGTCCGGATGGACCTGGGAACACCAGCAATTAAGAGGTGGTTCCTCGCTCCTCAAAACCTCCTTATCAGAGGCCTTGCTGTTGAATGTAGTCTATCGTCTTACCCAGGACGCGAATGCAGTTTAATGTCATACCCAGGACGGAATCTGGGAAAGGGGTTATATATATATATATATATATATATATATATATATATATATATATATATATATATATATATATATGTACTCATACACACACATACATATATATATATATATATATATATATATATATATATATATGAAAATTTCTCTGAGTTAACCTGTAAAAAGACAATATTTATAAATTTAAATGACAATAATAGTTTTCCTATTGTCATTTATATTTATATATATATATATATATATATATATATATATATATATATATAGACTACAGCAGTAATTTTGAATCCACCCCCAGAATTATCCTGAAATGGACTTGGCAGAAGAGTGAAAAAAATAAAAAAGTACTCGTAGTCATTGAAAAGAGAATCAATTATCAAATTATACTTTGACAAACTTTTGCTACAAATGTCAAAAATTTGTGCTGCAGTAATCAAGGCTAAAGGAGGATATTTTGACGAGAGCAAAATTTAATAATAAAATGATTTTTTCATAAAAAAAAAATTTCTAATAAAAAATTATGTCTCACTTTTAGAATCATGTACAATAATTTTCTCTTGCTTAAAGTACAAAACAACTACTTTGGGGGCCAATTTAATAAATTACCAGGAGTAACCTCACACTTTTGAACTGTAATGTATATATAACGGGTAAACGGCGTGCATAATTAATTTCAACTCAGAACTAATTTCAACTAGGAATTAGTTTCAACTCAGAACTAATTTCAACTAGGAATTAATTTCAACTCAGAACTAATTTCAACTAAATTAGGAACTCAGAACTAATTTCAACTAGGAATTAATTTCAACTCAGAACTAATTTCAACTAGGAATTAGTTTCAACTCAGAACTAATTTCAACTAGGAATTAGTTTCAACTCAGAACTAATTTCAACTAGGAATTAATTTCAACTCAGAACTAATTTCAACTAGGAATTAGTTTCAACTCAGAACTAATTTCAACTAGGAATTAGTTTCAACTCAGAACTAATTTCAACTCGTAAGAATGTAAGTTGCAGAAAAGATGAATTCTGACTTATCTAAGGCTGTTTAATGCTGAAAAATAATAATACCAACTCATTGCATTTTGTTTAGGAATTCAGGGAAATTGATAACTTTGATTTTAAATCGTGTTGGAATTAGTTCCGAGTTAAAATTAGTTCCTAGTTGTAATTACTAGTTTATCTATACTAGTTTACCCGAGTTGTCACTCGGGTAAACTAGTATAGATATTTGTATATTTCTTATATGTCTGTATATGTTTATTTGTGAGCATCTATCTATATATAATATGTATGTGTGTGTGCGTGCTTATGTAGGTGTTATTTGCTATCTTATCTTAAAATATGATATCAAAAAGATCCATAAAAATATCAAATATTGAAAAAATTATATAACAAGATATACGAAATATCGAAAAACTAGGATGTTTCTAAAACTATGAAATATCAAAAAAATTAAGACTATAAAAATATATGAAAAATATATTGAAAAATATGAAATATAAAAAAAATTAATGTCATCAAAAAATATGAAATATCCCCCAAAATTAAGTACCTTAAAAAAAATAGGAAACATCGGCAACATAGGAAATATCAAGAAATATTGAAAAATAGGAAATATAAAAAATATGAAATATTGAAAAAAGTATGAAATATAAAATGTATGAAATATAAAAAATATGAAATATTGAAAAAAGTATGAAATATAAAAAGTATGAAATATAAAAAGTATGAAACATAAAAATATGAAATATTGAAAAAAGTATGAAATATAAAATGTATGAAATATAAAAAATATGAAATATTGAAAAAGTATGAAATATAAAAAGTATGAAACATAAAAATATGAAATATTGAAAAAAAGTATAAAATATAAAATGTATGAAATATAAAAAAATATGAAATATTGAAAATGTATGAAATATAAAAAATATGAAATATTGAAAAAAATATGAAATATTGAAAAAATATGAAATGATGAATAAATATGAAATATGGAAAAGTGATATATAAAATAATATACAAAAAATAATAAATGGAGAAAAAAATATGAAATATCGACTGTTGATACTGCAAAAACAGTAACTTTTTAAAAAAAAAAAAGTAGGAAGAGCACAAAAAAAACGTCATATCATTTTCTTTGTCCACTTTCCTAGCTTTCCTTGTATTTTTAAAAATACAAGGAAAGCTAGGAAAGGTGGACAAAGAAAATGATATGACGTTTTTTCTTAGAACATTAGCCAACTTAACAGACAGCCACCTCTCACCAAACCAAAAGACGAAAAAATAAACAAGTCAAAATCACTGTGATGATGGCTGCTGCAATTGACTTACAAACAAGGACCGCCCACGCAGGAAATAACTATGAAGTTAAGCCGTCTGGGGAATAGACGTTCTGCCAAAGGAATGAGAAGAAATTCGACCCCGAAAGTATATGCACTATATACGTACATTATGAGAGTGGGGGTGTTGAAAACTATTTTGCCCGACCCTCTTCCAAAATCTGACCAAATGACAAAAATTAAGATTTTGATGCGGTTGTTTGGATAAATTAATGTACCTATAAGTTTTTTTTTTTTTTCGACTTAGTAAATGCGAGTGTTCATATATATACACATACAAATGAGATCTGGGTTCGAATCTCATCATTGTCAATTTGTTATCGGCCTGTGTAGGCGATCCCAGCTGACAACACCTTTGGAAAAATGCCTCAAAGCCATACCTTACAGGTTGACCCAATCTTTGGCAGGGACATTAAGCAGACAGATCTGTTCATTAGCAGTTGTTGGTTGTGCTAGAAGGAAGTCGCAAGCCATAGTGACTGAGGGTCTCAGCGT